GACTCACATCGGGGTTAGGGGGAAACTAAGAAAAGAGGGGATAATAATGTATATGGCATTGAAACTGACAAGGGAGAGAACTGTATAAAAGGAATATATGATTAGGTATTATTGGCATGATGAAAGTCCAGAATAAGAGCTGCATAGTAAAGTGGACTGGGAGGCGGGGGACTGTATAACAATGAAAGAATTTTTATTTTCCCAAAGAGAAAAGCGGACTGGGTGGAGGAGGAGCAGGGAGGAAAATGTGCAACAATGAGTTAATGGAAATCCAAGTTCTCTGTAAACTTTAATTAAAATATCAATTTTTATGAAAAAGGAGGGGAAAAGAGCAACAGTGTCATTCTGGAGACTAAGGTGTGCCTGATCGAGGCCATGGTCTTTGCAAATACTTGCTTCTTAGCACTCTGGAGAGGTCCCCGACAGCAGATTTTTGTCTTTTGATTTCCTGACTGATGATGCTGAGAGTGTTGATTGTGGAGCTGAGCAAGCTGTACTTTTTAGCAACTACAATCTCTTTTCCATCTATCATGGTGCTGAAATTGGCTGATAACTTTTGTCTTCTTGATGTTGAGCTTTAATCCATATTGGAGACTACAGTCCTTGACCTTCTTCAACAAATGCTTCAGGTCCTCCTCAGTTTCAGCAAGCAAGATCGTGTCATCTCAATAATTAGGTTGTTGGTGAGTCTTCCTCCAATCCTGATGGCACATTCCTCCTCATGGAGCCCAGCCTCCCAAATGATCTGTTCTGCATAGAGATGAAAAAGCTGCATATAGATTGATACTGTTCTGTGTGTAAATTGATACTGATTTAAACGTTGTGGTTTGCTGTTTTTTAATTACAGTTTTCCAATTTTTCATTGCTGTGAGTCAAAATCAACTTGATGGCATTGGATTTAGTTTTTAGTATAGAAATAGAATTGCTTTTTTTGTATGTATCTCCCATGTATTTTGCAAGTTTGCTAAGAGTCATTTCTTAACAGTTTTCATTCTTTTGTGTTTTCTGTGTCCACAAACATGGTGTCTGAAAGTAAAGATCTCTTCCTTTCCAGTGCTTTTGTCCCCCCCCCG